CAGAGGGCCATCATATTTGTAAAACAGGAGAATCAATTATTTAAAGTAGCAGCGTCCTGTTTATCACAGGCTGGTCCTTCGTACCACATCTCCTCTCTTTAAATAATTAAGAACAAGGCCATTGTTTCTCCCTGTCATTTGGTGATGCTGCTGTTGCAATACAGCCATTTACTAGGGGCAAAATCCCACACAAAATTCTTTTGCTGTTTAGTGAAGAGGGGCATTTTGAGTGCTGGTGAAGGCAGTAGACATGAAACTTTCCATCTCATTTCATGTTCAAACATACAGCTCGTATGATCTACAGTTTTCATCATACCATCTTTTTGGACCTCACCTTTAAATAATAAAAAGAAAATATCTAGGAAATAGCCTGCAGAAATGCTAAAAGACACACTTCTTACTGATTTCTTCTATTACTTTGGTTCACTGTTTGCTGGTTTATGTGTGCACTCGTTTTTGTTCCTTTGCTTTTTATAGTGTGTGGAGTAATTTTATTGCTTCATGTGGCTTTTTGTCATGTTTTAAATCTTGTTAACTACTTCGTACTTTCAAGTAGAAAAATGCATGTAATATTTAGAATAAATAAAATATGAGTGCAACTGTTCTAACAATGTATGTGCTCGTTAGACATTGTTAATTAATGCAGCAGTTTTGTTTCATAGTATTTCTTCAAGTTGAGTGTGTGGTTAAGGCATGAAAATCATCTTCTTCACAACTTGTCTGAGAGAGAATTGTGGTGGGGGTTTTTTTCGCATTCTAAATATCACAGTTTCTTTGTTTTACCCATGCTTTCTTGTATAAGCATTCTGAGGAAACTTTACAAACCAAGCTTGGGCAAAAATGATTATGCATGATCTGTTCTGGATTCACGCAGTCTCCAAAAACCTTTTGTACACTTTACAAACGCATATTAGAATCCTGAGAATCTCACGTCTTCCTTCCTTCCTTCCTTCCTTCCTTCCTTCCTTCCTTCCTTCCTTCCTTCCTTCCTGAAGTAATTTTCTACTTCATGTAGCTGTACAGGTTAAACTTTTACTTAGGATGGCAAATCCCCACTTGGCAATTAATCTCTCTGAGTGACCTTGGCCAGTCACTCTCTCTTAGCCTAACATACCTCACAATGTGGTTGTGAGCATAAAATAGAGGAAAGAGAAATTGTATATGGCGCCCTGAGTTCCTTGGAGAAAATGTGAGATATTAATGTTGAGGTAGCCCCCCAGTAGCTAAAAGGGGTTGGAGTGGCTCCGAACAGGTTCACACTTTTGTACAGAACAGGCATGGTAGACAAAAGGAGTATGTTGGGTCTCATTTATTTTTAAAGTGGACAGCCCCTTAGGAATTCTAAGACTCTGGAATTACAACTCAATAAAAGTTGGATATATTGTTCTGATTCAGTGCAATAAAAGTGCCAGAATGACCTGCCAGAAATAGCAATTGGTGAATTGCAGGCATATCTGCAGCTGCTGCCTCAGAACAGGACTGGCTGGCTTTTTAATAGTGCGTTCTGGAGGCTTTTATCTGATAATTTCCTTCCGTTTTGGGTCACAGATGACTGGAAATGTGTACCGTGTCCAATAACTCTCACCTGAATCTTTTTGGAGGGTAATGATTTAGTTGTGGAGTAGAAGTCAGACCATTGGGCATCAAGTTCTCTATTCCATAGTTGTATGTATATTTGTGATAACCTTGATAACATGTTTGAAATATCTTTTGATACTTTTAAAGGGTGCAAGCTTAAGAAATGACAAAATCCACCTGTTGTAGAATTGGGGCTTCTGAAATGAAGCATCCCTAGCGTGCCAAAATCCCAAAAGCCTTAAAAATAAACTAACCCAAAACTTTTGTTGGATTTTTCTCTACATACAGGTTAGCTGAATACTTTACTCCTTCTGTTTGTGTAGGAACTGTAATCTAGAGAAGGCATGTGGGACACATGCTCCCCCTTGCTGTAGACCCTGTTATCTCCAGGGTCTGCAGCTCAGGAAAGTGGGCCTCCACATCACCATGACCGCCATGGTTTTCCAGCTTTCGGGATATTCCCTCATTGCCCTTTACAACTAAGTGGATGGGGGAGACTGGTGCAAGTTTGAAGTACAGCCCCTAATAGAGCAATCCAGGATGTTTCATGCCTGCATGTATAGGAAGGAGCACCTAGCACTGAAGAAATTGACTAGGTGGTAGGAGCAGCAAAGGCTAGGTAGATGGATGGTGCAGATTTGCCAGGGCTGAGAGTAGCTGCCATCAGTTGCTGGATTTGTGGGCAGGATGGACCTGTGGGAATTCATACAGGTTGAAGAAGTGTAATCATCCTTGGTGGAATAGTGCTGTAACCATGCCTTAAATACTTCTGAGGCAGGAGTGGAGAAAGCTTTTTTAGCCAGAGGGGTCACCTTCTCTTATAGGCACACTTCCAAGGTGCCAGGGGTGGGTGGGACCACATGCAAAAGGGGGCAGAGCAATGGTTGTGGCGCTTACCTTTGTATATAGACTATGTTAAAAGTCAGGAGGTTCAACTCTCCATCCTTCATCCAGGCAAGCATTTGAGGAGAGTGCAGAACAGGAATTGTGAATGATGTGACCTGGAGAGAGACGTGGCTTGTGGAGATTCCTGAGGGCCAAAGAGAGATGGTCTCATTTGGCCCCTTGGTCTTGAAGTGCCTCATGCCTGTGCTGAGGCATGAAAGAGCATCACTTATCGAATATGCACCTGATAGCAGAATTCAGGTTGTGGCAAGGATTCCTGCTTTACTTTTCAAAGGTGTTGAAAGACACCTTTGTAGACACCTTTGCCGTTGTAGACAGTGCCCAGTATCTGTCCTCCATTTCTGTTTTAACAGTTTTATTATTTGGGGGATTCAACCCTGAAATTTTCCCAACTAGGTTTCAGTATTATTTCCTAGCAGTTACGGGATTAACCACAGCCTTTAGTGCAACACTGTTTCCACTTCTCTGAAGTGTTTGCTTTTCTTTGAGTCTTGCAACTGACCTCTCACTGCTTTTAGGGCACACACTGTTCAGGAGATAATTGTACGCACCAGCGGTACGGTTAGGACTTTTGTAACAGGTTTTATTATGGGTTGCACAACTATGTAAACTTCCCGGATGACTGGAGGGTAGCAAGTATGAAAATGACGCTCGTTCCTATGCTGCAGGGCAACTTTGTGTTCTCCAAGGTGAGATGATGAGCGATAAAGGCAAAGCCATTAATTCTCTCTTAGATACGGGAACAGGAAAGAGTTAGTTTGCGTGGAAGGTTTTGGAGGAAACAGGGTATAAATTTCTGTGCCAAGGGGGTTGTGTCATGTGGGATTCCCAGAGATCAGCTCCCTTGGTTACAATACTAGCTTCTGGTATCCAATCCTTTAAAATAATTGTCAGTCTAGGTCTTCCTTTTGCTTTTTACCTTAGTAGGAGCAGGAGCTCAACACAAGAGCCAGCAGTTAGGACTGGGAGACTGGTTTATCAGCTCACCACTTTCTAGTTCTTTGGAAATTACCTGTGAGAGTCCACACCTGAAAAGGATTGGTAAAACTGTATTAAGTAAATGGTACTTACTTCTTTCACTAAGAAAGAGACCATAAACCAACTGTTTCAAGAGTTGTATCCATGTGTCTTACTTCAGAGGACAGGCTTTTTAGTTGAAGGGCTTGCTGATGCAAGTCCATTTTAAAGATAAGGAATCATAAGAAGGGATTGCAGGGGCCTTGAATTGCCCATCAGTATTTAACCACCTGCAGAGAAAGCCCACGAGAATCCTGGTCAGTGTTCCCCACTGTAGTGAGATGCATTGTGCTACTATTTAAATTAAGAGTAATTATGTCTAAATTTTCATCTGTACACACCTTATGCATTTTTTGCATAACCTTTATCCTCCCTTTTTGGTGAGGTGTAAATGGCCACCCTACCTCACTTTGTTCCATTCTTTGTTTAAGCATGGACTTTAACAAAATTGATTGAATAACATCCATTAATGGCTGCTTACAATGAATGGCACATCTAGTGTTTCAGAATGGGGTGGGAACTGTTGTAATGTACGAAGAGACACTTGCAATGCTGAACTCAGAAGAATCCAGAGTTCCCCTGCTCCAGATCAAGCCCATTGCAAATCAGAAGCCCAGTATTGGTACAGTCTCTGCTTTAGAATGGGCTTCCTGCCAGCTCACTCTTCCTGGTGCCTCCCTTCCTTTTGCAAGCGATTTTATCATTGGAAAGGATTTGGGAGCAGGGAGAGATGGCTAACAGTGTAGGGCATTGTAGGTCCCAACCTTCAGCATGCTTATAAAGTCTTATCCCTCTTCATTCCTGAGCATGCCGAGGAACAGCTATGCTTTCAAGCGTTTTTCTAGTCCTTCACATTTGCCAGTCACTGGTGCCTTTCCCTGCCACACTCTGCACAGGCAAATTTGGGAAGGGGAGGGAGCGGCAGGAGATGCTAGTAGGAAGCTCCCAAAGGTAAGCCCACTTTGTGGACTTAGAGAACAATCAGTTAGCATGTGCTAAAACAAAAAAATTCCTTCCAGTAGCACCTTAAAGACCAACTAAGTTAGTTCTTGGTATGAGCTTTCATGTGCATGCACACTTCTTATATTCTTCAGATGCACATGAAAGCTCATACCAAGAACTAACTTAGTTGGTCTTTAAGGTGCTACTGGAAGGAATTTTTTTGTTTTGACTATGGCAGACCAACACAGCTACCTATCTGTAACTTAGCATGTGCTAGTTTGGCTGCTTTGGGGACACCAATCTAATTTTGTGACACACGAGAAGGAGTTTGCTCATTTCCTGCTAACAAATGTCTCCCTACACTCTGCAATGGAGGCAAAGCACTAACCTCCTCCAACCAGAACATGTCGTTTATGGCCACAGGCCATATTTTAGCCGGTTTCGAAACAGTGTGCATGAAATGCAAAGGACGTTTTTAGCTGGTTATTCAGGTTACAGTTTCGACTACAGCTTTGTAAATAACTCATGGTCTGCAATAAGTTTGTTTCTCTTCATAGGTCCAGTATTTTTTCAACATCTTGGACAACTAGAGACGGCAGAATTATGGGGCTTACAAAAAACAAGCCACAGGATGGAAGATGTGTGTTTATTCATTTATTGACCAATGTTTTAACCTGACTGAAATACAAGATCAACAAGAGCACTGTATTTTCCTGGCTATTACATATGTTAGAACATAGAGGTTTGCACTTTAGACAACATTTAACACCAGTTGATGGGGGTAACTGCATTGCTTTTCATAAAGTTCAAAATAAAGATTTATTTTCAAACATGTGGCTTTGGTTTATTTTTATACATTACACTTTTTTTCTTGCAGAAAAAAAATAAAATTGTACAACTGCATAAATATAAAATTCTTCCACCATGGAAATGGTTAAAACATTCAATAAAGACAGCACCACTGCATATGATGCCTCTAGCAGGAAAAGAAAATATACAAAGCAAAATAATTATTCCTGTCACTGATGAGAGTGATAGGCTGACTCAGATTTCTCACACAACTTCAGAATGGGTGCGGGGAGAGGGGGAGTAGAGAGAGAGAGAGAGATAGAAAGACAACATTCGCTATAAAGCACAATACATAATCACCTACGCTCCTTAGCGTTGCTTCAAAGTCAAGGTAATTTTCCCTGCCACCACACTAAATAAAGTCCTAAGGCTACAGGGAGGAAGGGGGGGGAGGCTCTATGGAGTGCTGCTGAATAATCTCACAAGTGGGCCTTTACCATTTTAAAAATGAACAAAAATATAATAATTAAAAGTACCATGCCAGTTTTAGTCCCACTGAGTATTTACACCTTGGACAGCAAATATTTGCTCACAGAAAGTAGAAAACAGGTACAATAATACATGGCTTGAAAAATGATCGGAGTAATGCACCTATAGTACTGTACACTAAATAAAACTCACAAGGCAGCAATATTTAGGGGGCAGAAACACTGCTTACTACAAGTCAGTTATGGAATAATAATTTACAGTAGAAATGGGCATGTCCCAAGGCTCAATTCTGTGTTTGTTTTGTTTTTGTCATTTACAGTAGAATAAATATCTTTGTTGCTATTGCTACACTTTTAAGTTTACATTCTAACCTAGTTAAATGCAGAAAGCTAGTGTAAAGCATATAGATTACGTGTAGGTCCCATACGTATGACAGTTTTGTTCAAGACTAGTAGGTTTTTGTCTTTTTATACTTTTTTAAATGGCTAAGAGGAGAGAGAAGAAAGAAACTGTGCTTGCGATCAGCTGCTTTTTATGTCAAATTTCAAATCAAAACGTCCCTGGAAACGATCCTTGTCACTGTAGTGGATGTTCTGACCATAGACCTTGCACTCGACACGCACTTCAGTATCAGACGTCAGGTTGGTGAACTGCACGGCCACAAGGGGCTGCTGGTACTTGGGCTGGAGGAGCTTGCCGTAATACGGATAGTACTGAAGAGGAAAGCCGCCATAGCCACCCATGCCATAATATTCCACGGTGCCAATTTTGTCAATGTCTTCCTCTTTCTGAAGGAACGAAAGGGAGAAGTCACTTGCAAATTCCGCATTCTGCATGCTCTGCGTACCATATTTTTATTGTTCACTATTTGGCCATGACTTACAGCTCACATTTTGAAAAACAGACTGTCCCACTGAAAAGTCACTTGAGTTTTCTATGTACCTTTCCAACACATTTGAGTGATTGCAACTGTGGAATGAGTGAAGGGTAATGTCTCCTTAGATGGATTGCCTTGGCCTCACTTGCAGCATGCCAGAAGATCCAGCGATGGCCACTTCCACAGTGATGGAAGAACCACTCCCCCCCTGTCATGAGGAATGCATGAAGGAATGGACAAGTGGGGGGGTCACTGCCACTGTCCTTGATCCAAACTCTGCATTCAGTTGAACATCTGGAAAGTCCATACACTGACAACTGTGCAACTGGGAATCCTGTCTTTCCAGGGTTCCCAGTTGTAGAAAAGCAAGCCTTCCTTGTGTACACAAACATTCAGCTGAACACACAGAGAGGACCATGTTGAGTTTCTGCCCTCCTTGAGAGATTCTGAGAAACACCTGGTTGGCCACTGAAGGAAATAAAATAGCCTGGACTAGACTGTCCAATTCAACAGTGCTCTTCTGTGTTCAGCATTCCATCCCTTTCAGAATGTGCTAATAGCCCTATTCAGGAATTATGATGGCATGTTAATTAAATACTTGAGGGGTGGGTGCAGTGATGAGTGCACCAGCTCCACCCTCTCAGTTCTTTGTTCCACTGCACAAGTTGGGAGGACAGTCTGAAGCAGGGAGCCTCTTGTTGTGGAAGCCCCACACGTTTCAGAACACTGATTTCCCAGGGTTATAAAAAGCAGGTGGGGCCCCTACAAGTACTTGTTTGAGGCAGTAGCCCTCCCAACTCATGCAGAGTGACAAGAACAACAAAGTAGAGCTAGCACACATGTTCCCACAGCCCCACTCCCCATTCTCAGCATTTACATAACATGCCATCTCAAGATCTCGCAGCTAGTACACAAGTGTGGCAACTGGAATCAAGTTGTGAGGTTGGGTTAGGCGTTTTCAGGGTGAGGTTTGTTGCTGCCTTTTACCCAGCACACGCTTTTTCTACACGGACCCATTCTCCATTTCTTCCTCTGCCCCTCTCCCTGCATCCCTCTCTTCTTTTCCGCATGCTAGAGAGGGACAGTGTTTAGTGATCTCACTCCAACTCCTGTTGGGCAGGGAAGAGGAGGAGAGATTTTGACTTGGTTTGGCTTCAACTGAAGGACATTCTCTCATGACAGGAGCTGTCGACACTTCTGGTATCAGGTCTCGGCTCCTAACGGAAAAACAAAGGACTGGGTTCTCTCCGTTGGGTGTTGTTTGAGTCTCTACTTTTAGAAAAAGCAACAGCTGTTTTATCTTGGTATAGAGTGATACTGCTTTGCTTGGGCAGACAGTGAACCACTCAAAGCAAGTAAGAGGAGAGATGGCAAGGGAGTCCATTTAAAAGCTAACATGCATGCAGACAACATATAGGAGAGCAAACATAGGAAGGTGCCTTATACCAGGTCAAGTAATTGCTCAGCCTAGTTCAGTATTGCTGGTACTGATTGGCACTGACTGTCCAGGATTTCAGGTCTGTTTAGGTTCCTAGTTTCACATGGAGATCTCACCTGGGACCTTTTGAACACAAAGCTCTAGCACTGAGCAAGCACCTTTCTCTATCAGCAAAGTACTCCTGGCTCAGCAACCTGCATTCATTTCACTGTTGGACTTGACCAGGGTTTCCTGCCATGATGAATGCTTATTACACAAGTGCTAGGTATTTCAGATTTTCAGAGCTAGGGTGTCACTAGGGCCTCTAGTTGCCACCTGCCTCACCTCTGATGGTGGCAGTAGTCTCCAAGGGAGATCATAATGTATGGTTACGTGGATGTAGAGGCAGCAATCTTGCAGGTCTCCCAGGCCCAAGCCATATACAGGTTTCAAAAGCATCACTGTGAATGAGGTGCCCAGATGTAGGGCAGTAGCCAATGTAGCTGCTCAAGCACTGGTGAGATAGGATCCCAATTTAGAGACAAGCAGTTGTATATTCGAACTAACTGCAGTCTCTGGACAGTCTTCAAGGGCAGCCCCATCTACAACAAATTACGGTAAGAACTTGAACTATTTTACCTTAGCAGCACAGTGAACAGGAATGATATAAGGGTTGAATCTTGCCTTCACCTCAGGTGGGATGGAGTCATTGAGTGGAGGCTAAGAGGAAAACAAGCACGTTGTTAAACAAATGGTTTAAACCAACTTCAAAACCCTTGCTAAAAGACAAACTCCTTTCTCCAATAAGTGTATTTGCCAAATATACCCTCCAGAAGCCAAGTAAGATGGTCAAGTGCCTATCAGTTTGGAAGTGAAATGGGGCAAACTAAAAATAAAATAGGAGCCCTACATATATGGAGGGCTCCCTAGGGATGCAGAAGTGTATAAGTTTGTAAATTAAAAGAAAACAAAAGTCTGCAGAACCTGCATAGACAGGGAAAAAATCAGAGAAACCCACCTCACAGGGTTGTTGTGAGGATAAAATGGGGAGGTGAGACCCATGCACACCACCTCAAAATCCTTAGAAGAAAAGGTAACTAAAATAATAAACGCATATTTCCCCCACTTGTGCTTTTCTAATCCGGAAACTACTTTAAAACTAACAAAGGCTTTTATTTATTCGAGCTCTTCTTTGCCATATAGGGGAAGGCTAGTAGATTTGTGAGGAAGAGCTGGGTCCACAGTCTCAAATCAGCCAACGTAAGCATAATTTTCCATCAGCGGACACATAAGCTCCAAATACTGCTCACAGACCTGGAGTGAAGCAAATGAAAAAATACCCAGAAAAAGTTTGAGAATCCTCTTAGTTGCTACATGGCTGGTCTAGTAAGCAGCCCTCCTCACTGCCACTTGCCAGTAGAAAGTAAGTTTGGTCTCCTGGCAAAAAAGCATACGATCAGTATTTTAAAAGCCAGCAGGGCTTCAAGTCTAGTGGTCACCCCATTGTGTGACAAGAAGATGAACAATGTTTCCACTGGTAAGACGAGTCCAAGCAGCCACCAGGTGTTTATTTGAGATCAGTGGCAGAGACGAGAAAATGGAAAGTAGCGTATTTTTCCGAGGTTTTTCGACTCAAAAATCGTATCCAAAAACTGGGGTAGTCCAATACACGGAAAGTGGCATGGGGGTGAGAAGCGGTGCGCCCGCCAGCCAGCCAGTTGGCAGGAGCGCAACTTCCCCTGATGCCGCAGCGAGCGGAAAACGATCCAGGGAGTGTTTCCTGCCGGCAGCTGCGTGGGGGGAGAAGCTCAAAAACTTGGGGCCATCTCCCCTCATTTTCTTAAAATTGAGTCCCCAAAATAAGGGGGGGGTTCCTTATACATGGGGGCATCTTACTGATGAAACAATACTGTAGATATAAGCAATCTTGTAGAAGATAAGACGATCAAAGACTCCCCCAGCACCCTCCTTTTTCCTATGTGGCTGTGCTACCAAATCCCACATTTTCCTCTCACCCCCTTCCTTTAAAAACAGGCCTAACAGCACTTGCCTTCGGTATGAAGCCCATAATCCTGTTGAGTTTGATGAGGACACATGGTTTGCCGTCTTTGTAACCAAAGCTGGGGTCATTTATCCCAGAGCAGTTGTCCAGCCAGGAGCGAAGGAACCTGCAAGATGGCTTCTTGCCCAGGCTGGGGTCAATAGGAGCTTCGCCTTTGTGGGTGGAGGGTTCAGCTGGAGGTGGGGAGTGGGGGAGA